GCCCCTGGGACCAGCTCAACCGGACTCGGAACACGACGGGGGATCTTTCTCCCCAAGTTCGTTCCCATCGTCGAGTGCAATTTTGCCCCTTGCCCCACATGAATCACTGGAGTCGAGGGATATTGACGTCAAGGGTGAAATCATCTCGGTAATGGACGATTCAGGGGCTGGCTGGAAACGGCATACTCGTGTCTACGGTGGAGGCGTCTGTCTGGCTTGTCTCGCTTCTGGGAGTCAAGGGGGGTTCTACGGTGATAACGTACCCCCTGAGCACCGTCGGTAACTCAGAGGAGGTTAGCACGAATTACTCCACCGACCTCAACATCTTAGACAAGCAGACAAGGAGGATAGGCCACCGACTTCGAGCTGATGTGATAGATCAAGGCGTGGACGACAACCGCGGAGGAGCCGGAGCAACTCCGAAGCTTCTCCTAGCCAGTGGCCATGTTCGTAATCATGGCGCAGTCATGAGCTGGGGTCTAAAGGTTCAATTCGACGGGCCAGCATCTGAGCATACTTTGGAAGCGATCTAGCAAGTCATCGGGTGGCATCATTTTTTACATAGGGCGGTCACATTTGGAAAAAGGATATACCTGTTTTTGCGATAATCGGTTACTTGGGTTTAAGAGAAGGGTACTGCTACTTTGCTAACGCCGTTTACGACTATTTCATTATTCTCTTCCCCTACGTCTATGTACATATTTACTTATCCCCTACCTTTTTCTGGGGTTACTAGAGTCCTCGGTTTGCAAAAACTCCCCCCACGTTGATAAAAAAGTTCCTTCAGTTTTTTTCGTCTCTCTTCTATTTTTGCCCTCGCTTCTTTCACCTGATACGGGAAATTTTCGAGAAAATGGCATTTTAATTCCCTCGCTTACCTACCGCGAGGAGTGGCTTCGGTGTTGCCGAGGGAACTGTTAGTGCCGCGGCGGTTTGTTAGTTCGTGGGAGAAGAGCAATGTTGGTTTTCAGGTTCGAGCTCAGCCACTCTCTCCGCACCAACGTCGAAAGGACCCCTTTATGCGAAATGCGTTATGCCATGAGCTGAAGTCGACGATTTTTGACGTCACTCACATTAACTTGCGGAATACGATGTCAATTTTTGATATGGATCATTATGCATAGGCCTGCTCTGGTCCGCAGACGCGCTCAGGAGCAGCTCACTGTGCTAGTAAGTTGCTTACTCTAGGCAGAGATATCCGTACCACTCTCTGTTTTGGGTAAAAAAGGCACCGCCGATGTCATGGCATGCATGAAATTCTTCGCCGCAAACATGATCGGCCCGTACAGTTATTAAGCAGCGAAACAAAGCCGATATGCGAAATTGTACGCCACGAAACATAAACGGCCCATGAAGTCCGAGCTGCGCAGGCCATGGGCCAGCGCCGAAGTTCATAAAATGTGACAGCTCACCGATCCTCCAAAAGAGGTAAAGGTATTGAAAAGAAAACCCGCTAGGTAACCCCCATGTTCCACGTCAATGCTTCGGAACAGGTTTAGGGCTGAATCTTGGGTACCTTTAATTAATCTCTGGACAGGGCCCCTTACGTTTCTATCCCTGAAATTCCCTCGAGTAAAGGACCCCTGCGTTGATCATGTTCGTCTCTTCTACATGGTAACCATTTATACTCCAATGAGGAAATATGTTTACCGTTCTGGCTGATGACAACTCTGTAGCCGGTGTCTTGGCGGCGGGCCGTTGCCTGTCACGACCGAGGAGGATGTAAAGCCTGGTCGACCGAGATATCTCACGTCATATTACATAGGCGTCGTCAGGACTTAAGCAGGGATTCGCGGTACGCAAATTCCGGGCACCTTCCGCTTGGGTTGAAGTCCGATGCCGAGGAGAGAAGGATGGCAATACCTACCACAATACCGGCAATGCCTTAAGAGCATCTCGATAGAGGCCAAAGTTAAAATCATATTATTAGATCCTTCGCTGCCAAGGGTATCTTTCTTTACGACGTGTTCGACCGAGCAATTTTGTATGGCAAACTCTTCGTCACAAAGGATTATTCAGTTAAGAAAGGAACACATGGAGGAGGAGGATATTTCAGAAACGCACTACCACGCGGCATAACGTTGCAGGTCTTGAAGGAATCGGATCCATCCGTATCCTATCGAATCGATAGCAATACGGCCACGCCATCAACCTACGTGAGCAAATTATAAAAGTTCATGATATCAATTCCACACCTCGGCGCCTCCGTCGGGACATTAGCTCGCAAAGATTGCGATACTCGGACAAGAGTCGAGTTCAATTTCGGCCATGGTTCCTCCACAGCGATTTTCGGGATCCATCCTTCCTAGCTGCTCAGGCCTATTTGATGTAGCAGGGATGACTTAGAATAGCGGATTGTTATGTACCTCCTGGATCTAACGGATTACGATTTCACAACAGAATGCGATATGGCATGCCGAGTCGACGCGAAAGGGCCCATTACGAGAGGACCTAGTACCTCCTTCCCAAATTAATGTAGACGGTGGCGAACTTGGCCGTAGGAATTCTGAGAGCAATATCGCGGCATGGCAATCTCAGGCACATTAGGCATGTAGCTTTCCCCGCGATTAATGCAAGATGTGGCACGGCTACAAGAAGGAGTTAAGCACCTAGATCCAGCAGGATAGCCCTATCGTTGGAGACACGATAAAATTGTTCTGCAGGTCCCATCCTAGAACTATCGTAAGCCTAACGAATGGGATGTCTAAACCAGGACTAGACCCATGTTGCTGCAATACTCGCCGATCAGCTCACTGCCTAGTCTAGGTACCTGCCTACCCTAGTCAGGCCAGGAACGCAGGTAGGTAGTATTATTGACGAGCCGATTTGAGTAAGGTTTTAAGGATGAATGGTCCGCTGTTCTACAAAATCCAGAATGACTAACCGCTTACATATGCTCATGGCCACGTCTGTGACATAAAGCGGAAATACTGGTATTAAGTTAGTAGAGGTCTACAACAGCTTCTCCGAGAAAACTCAATGATCTTATTCACAGCATTTCAGTGTGTCGTCCAATATTGAGCACTTCGTCGACATGGCCCCTAAGACATATCCTTGAGTTACTTCATCATTCTGGATCATCCTGGTTCATTATGACTAACCTTGTATCTGATGAAAGGGGGGGTTGTCGGTTACACTATTGATTTTTCCCCCATCCAAATATAAGCTCATCACTGAGAAATGCTCGCTGACTCGGTAAAAGGCCCGTTTGGACTTCTAGGCAGACATTGTCCAAGTTAGTACGTCGATCTGCGTTGCTGCAGCCTCTATGTGCCCGTAGACAGGAAATCCTATATCTGCATATCGTAGCTAGTCATCGAACCGGCGATATGTGAAAACCCTCCCTAAACTGGGCTAAAGTCATTCTGGAGGGTTTATATCCGTAAGATAAATATTTATAAATATCAGTGGCGTATGCATATCACAAATCTGTCAGAAGGCCTCTGGCTGTCGCATTCACTTCCAACAGCGATCATTCATAATCGTGGTTTTGATATCAATCCATACCGAGCAAGGGTGCTTCTTTGAGGGCCAATCTCAGCGATGTCCCCACGACCTAGGGTGTCCGATTGTGACAAGACATGGGGGAAGAAGTAGTAAGAAGTAGGGGGGGAAGAAATAATATGGCTGCCTAATGTCGATACGCGTCCTAGTTAAATCCGAACATTTAGCCCTACGAGAAGAGGAGGGTACTTTATCAAGGGAAATTTCTCCTGCTCTTGACTTCCTATTCCTAAACCAATTGGCTGTATAACCCAGGCACTAGTAGCTTAGGGCTGAAAGAAACAGTTCGTAAAAGGATATTTACAGTATATCAGCATTGGGTACTATCTAATCATTAAGCCAATGTACTTCGCACCTCTGGCAGGTACCTTTGACAAGTCTCTAGTGATGCTCGAATGGAATAGGGGTCGAGAGGTGATCGGTCTTTCCAGATAACGAGTCGTTTTCTAGAACTAAGATATTTCAAGTCGGCCCTGTCCCGGCTTAAGCAGAAGTTATTCCTAAAATTCCAATTCAAAGATTGCCCATCATGAATAAATACACACTCAAATTATCATATTATTTTTTTTACTTACCTACAGTGAGTTTATAGTACGCATTCCCTACAACACCTAGTCTAAAGGGTTAGTTGAAGATGTTATTAGTATTTGGCCTAGTCGACTAACCACCTAAAACACTACCATCAACCTAAAGTGAGGTGAGACATGTGTCACTCTCAAGGGATGTAGCGAGCTGAAAAACGAAGAGTTCAAACTGTCACGATGCAGACCATGGAAGCATAGGAAGGAACTCTGTTGTGGCACGAAGGACCCTATCTACGAGCTAGCGGCCACGGACAGGTCCCGGGTCCATATACGTGAGCATCCTTTGTCTAGGCTATGGAGCCCCTGATGACTCCGATAGACTCCCTGGTTCCTGGTGGCCTAAGTGGCTAGACTCCTAAACAAACCTCATTTTCACAACATATCTATTGCCGCTCTATCATGTTCCCTGGATAATACACGAGCCCCGTTTGGCTCGGGAAGTGTAGAGAAGGGCGGCGTTGCTGTGTTCAAGACTATCCGGAAGCCGGGCCATCTTGTCGAGGTTTATGGAACAATACCCCTGAACTTGATTAGTAACATCGGTTTTTCCTAAGCCAGCTATCAAATGAATATATCAGAACCTAACCTTTTGCAAACATGGTTGCTTTGACAACCACATCATTACACAGATTTTCATGGATAGAGGAATTTCCTAAACAAGAGAAGCATATATATTTTTATGATTAGTACCGAAAAAAGTCCTTGTACGATCGATCAAATTTACATATTCCTGCAGGTTTGACGCAGGATAATTCTTAAGATGTGTCCACATAATAGTGAAATTGTACGGACTCGTGAGTCGATGCGAAACTAAGTAGACAGGTCCTATGGTATGCTCTATGAGTCCCCTTGTTGCCGAGGAATGACTACATCACCTTATCGGATAGGGGACGCGAAGAAAAGGAGAAGATACACCGCGCCCGGGACTCGAACCCGGAATCTTCGGCTTGCTCTTAATTAGGAGACCGATGAGATAACCATTTCTCTAGCACGGCTTTGCCATTGAATTGGGGAAACGTCTTCTATGTGCTTTACGGTTTACTACGCACAAATATGAGGGAAGGAAGGGATAGGCAGTGCGGAACGTAGTCTTGTGTCACCAGTGCAATCAACGTTCTACTTTGTGTGTCAAAATTCAATGGCTGGAAGTGTAGGATATGTGGTATCACCTTTAATATAAATAGAAGCAGTAGCGAGCACTGTATCTTGTCTTATTACCTAAGAATTTACTATGCTTAGAGATGTAAGGTGTCTGTATGGTGTATTAGGGGCAAGAAATATTTTCAGATAAATACTAGGCTTCTTGTGCTTCCCGAATATAATGTGAATCCTACCTTTACGTAGACCAGCACGAATATTGTACTATTCTAGATGATTCTGTGTCTGCCCTTAATCGAGTTACTGGGTGCTAAAGCCACCTAACTGATGAGTTGCATAAAAGCAAATGTAGACCCGTACAAGTAGTGTATTCTGAGGTTTATTTAAACCTATTTCAAATAGTCTTTTACCTTCTAGGCCCATGGAGGTTTAAAAAACCATGAGATAGACAACTGTTCGAGTTAATGTTATCAAGAGATTAAAATCCAAATCCAAATAAATAGTCGTGATATATAAAGATGAGTATTTCGTTTCCCTTGAGAACTATCAATTACAGGGTGAATTCTATACCTAATATTTTACCCTTCTGGAGTAAGGAGTCCTCAACATAGTCCGGATTGCTGCGGCATAGAATGGACAGAGTGGCACATATGGGAAGATATAACAAAAATAATAAACGGTAAGAGGTACTGTAGTGTCAGGAACAAGGCACGTCAGACATTGGCCTACTTGACTACCTATATTTATGCTAAAGGCATAATAACTTCAATGTTCATGTTCGAAACGATACGAGTTCACCTTGAGCGACAAGGGAACCAGGTAGCGTTGGCTTTACCTTCATCGTTGCTGAACACCGAGAAAATTATAAAGCTCACATCCCCCCTAAAAAGGGGCGTGAGAAGATGAAAATTTGGGGCTCCCAAGCTACTTATTTTTATTGTTTAGTGACATAACGTACTCCCTACCTATCTACCATTCAATTTTAAGCAATCGTAGGTGCTTCATATGGTTCTAGGACTGAATTAAATATGCACTTCCTTGTGGGTTGTAAGTGAAATTACCATAGCTTGGTCTTGCATTATTCAGTTCTCATTAGTTGAGCGCTCTTCAAAACTGGTACACGGTCAATATGAAATGGTGTAGATATTGACCATAGGGCGATGGTGAACCAAAATATCGACCTTCTCTAGGGGGCCGCATAATACACGGGGCTCTCCTGACTACTCTCCTTGGTAAGAATGCTATTTTACGGCAAAATCTGACATGCGCATATAGGTAAGCTATGATTAAGGCATCTAGGTACGTAAAGGACATGAGGCTCTGTCGCAGTCTTGTAAAGTATCACGTGTCCCTCATCCACTGCAACAACGTTTTTGGGTACGAAGCATTACATGCTGCTTAACTATAGGTTAGGTATTTAGATGTAGGTAGGCTGTGTGCGACGATGGAAAGATTCCATCCATCGTTACTATTCGGGTAGCACCAACATCTCACTTCGGAGATGCAAGACTTAAGCACGTGTTAGGGTAGGACTCGATCCGATCCCCCGCAGAGGCCCCCAAAGATGCAAAAGGCTCCCATTCGTCGGAATGACGTTTTGACCAACCAGCTCTGCTCATCTGCAAGTCCAAAAGAGAGGTTACGTACGGTAAGTGGTTCGTGGTGGTGCTAAAATTCACGCCACTCGCTGGGTGAGCGGTCGAATAGGAGGCGTGAGTGTGGATTTGCTGCGGTCAATGGAGCCACGTAGGGTCATCTACTAATAGTTTTTGGAGGGGTCAAGCACAACTCGCCGAAGGAAGAAAAAAAAGAAACTACAGAGCTTGCGAGTGCCGCGAATAATAGACGGCTGGTTCGTCACTTTTAAGCGCCGCAATCCTCGCCCGCCACCTGCATATCCACCCCTGCGCGCAAGCGGGCTGCAGGTTACGCCCTACTGTACGTGCATGCGATGGCCCTGCATATGGTATTGTACGACACGGATGCAGTCTTCTGCAATAAGAACTGGACCTACTGGCCGAGAAGGGCCTGAGAAACACTCACCCTGCAGCATGCGTATCTTACTCGAGGTGAATAAGGGAGAATCGCTCGTGATATGCTATTTCTGATTTGAAGATTGTCCACTCACCAGCTAAGCCTTGAGGCGAGACCGATGCCCTACAACTTCGTATGTATGTAGGAACACACACACGCATGTGCTTACCTAGTGCCTAGGTAGGTACGTAAGGGGCGGGAAAAGCTGACACTCCTTAGAATTCTTAGTCAACTGTTCCCCATATTCATGACTTAAGGAGGTTGACACGTGGCCATCCTTCATCATCTATATATTTAGTGAATAGTGTCGATCGAACCAAATTCACGTGCGGCGCTACCTGAGGATGCATCCGGCCGCCTGGGTCGTCGACAAGCGCAATCCTATCGAGATATAGCGAGGCTGAATTCGGACATGCATTAAGATAGAACATGTGTGAATGATGTTCAGCGCGCTTCTTGAAAGGCTGATTACTTTCTGGCTGGCCCATTAGCCGCATGTCGACCTCCCTTTCGCTGTCGGCGTCAAATGGTCAAATTGAAGGCCGTCCCATCATGTCGGAAGAGTTTGGCTTGTGGGCATCCCGAAGCTACCTCTAAACTTACGCGCGCTTGCTATCTAGGTGTGAACTGTCGCCAACAGACTTTTAATCCTGCGAGGCTATCGAGCAAACTTGGAGAAGCAATTGTGAACGTTTCCAAACCCGAGGGGTCATTTCAAACTCCAATTTCTAAACGTCTGTGGGTTCTGATGCGAAGTATCGAGTTGGCGATACTTGTTTCCCCCCACTCTTTAAGGAGTAGTGGGACTGTAGTGTACGTCTCAGATGTTTTTAGCAACTGGACCGATAGGCCGCTTCTGGGGCTGTGATTCATTGGGACGGGAGGCCGGTTGTAATTTGTTGATCTCTACATATTCTTCGTCCAGCAGGAACTATTCCATGTCGATCTCCGTATGTACGTGTTTTACCGTGTAGAAAACTTGACCACGAAGTTGGGACACGTTCGGTTCGCGTCGTTAGCCAATCTGGATCATGCGACCCGGATCTTGGAGTGGAAATTGCAACGATGGTCGGGAATGTCTCGATGTGATACATCTGCTCTAGCCCTAGCCCTAGCAATTCTTGGTCGTACTTGATATGCTCATACATATATATTTATCATCATTACCATTGCTATGGTGAGATGAGAAGAACCGAATGCTTCTAGAAAGAAATCTCTTGAAGGGCGCAGGATAATGCAGCTCCTTCCACAGGATGCTGCCAGGTTTGTTCGGACGATGATCAATGCGACAGCCACGTCTGCCAGTTCTGCATGGCTCCGCCTCCATATGATGTACTGGTTTCAGACACATGAAACAACCATGTCAGCAAGGATAGCCGTCGATCACAGGGGTTCAATTTCCCCATGCACATGGGCAGAAATCCTCTGTATTCCGAATCTGGGTGACGAGAGGTTCACTTGAGCCGAGTCGGCCATTCATCACGATCCTTCTGCTTCTTTCTCTTGTTTCTCTCCCTTCCTCTGCCGCCTCGCCTCATGGATGTAGAAGTGGGAAATATGTTTTTTTTTATCGCAATGTTTTTATTTTTTTAAAGGCCAGAAGGGAAGTCAAGGGTCCAGAACTGACTCAACTGCATTCACAACTAAAAATGGGCTCGCTTCTAATATGTTCTACTATGTACCGTAGCGGCAAAATGCGTTTTCAAGGAACGGTTCTAAAATGGTGGAATGATTCTTGCCAGAGAAATGGTTCCGTATTAGCCCCACATTGGCTCCATAAAAGCGTTTTATTTAGAATATGCGATGTGTGGTATATAATGTGGAACAGTACCATGATTATTGTCGAAAGTGGACTGGCCACCCACTAGCGACACCTTAGCTCAATCGCAATGCGTGTTATTCGCATTAAGGTTGAACTTCGGGAAAATAAGGTTCGACCCCGACCTTTTTTAGAATTTTAGGCTTTTTTTTCTTATCTTATCTTTAGGTTTATAATCTGACCAATCATATCTCAGTAATATCTTAGTATTAAAAGATCGTGGAATGATTCCTCCTGAAGAAACGTTTACTTCCAACTGAATCGAGTTTAACTTTGGAATGATTCCACGTTTTGGAACCGTTCCCTCAACCTACATTTTGCCGCTACGGTATGTAATATGTACTAATAGTCTAAAAACGCAAAGGGCAGGTACTGTAGTCAACAACTTCTTATGGCTAGTCGGGAAGAAGAAATTAAATTACTCGGATAAAAAATAGTTCATGGAAAGCCTGTGAACGAACAATCCCATAAAATAATTCTGAAGGAATAGATGATAAGGTAATGATGTAACATTTGATAACCTTTGGAACCTGAACCTAAGAAACTGAATTGCATGCTGCGAGAGCGGAAAGGAACAGGAGAAGGATGAATTGATTGGTTGGCGTGACGTGATGCTATAAAAGGAGACTGTCTAGTAGCCGCATTGGGAATAAGGGGCGGCGTTGAAGAGTTGCAAATCACTACTACCTAGGCGGTAGGTACTGGTTAAACAACTTAACAAGTGAGTGACCTATTATTGTTTGTTCCTTTCAATTGAGATAAAAAGTCAAAGACTGAATGTTTTGCGTCAAAAAAGCTGAAGCATGACGAGGCCAGTTTCAACACGGTACTCTCGGCTACACCGCGTACAAGTATTATGTAATGCTACGGAGTGCGGATCTGAGAAACAGTGCTCCTGCAAGAAACGGCAGCGAACCCATATCGACCTTGGCAAGCCCCTGTCAGCAACCTTTTCTTGGCTAAATTTTCCTTGTGGCCCCCCCTGGTGGGAACTCTCATCTGTATGGGTCAGCCCTTGATCCCCGCGACAGAAGGACCGTTCAG